GACCTTGGGAGGGACATTGATCTCTTAGAACCGAGGGCATATGTGCCACGATAGTGACATAAACGATTTATAACATACCTATGATGATGTAGACTGGTCAGAGAGTACCGTTTTCTTATAGAATTGACAAAAAATGGTTTGAAAATGATTGAAATGAGTTTAGAAAATTTGCTCGCGCAGTTTTATCTTCGATTGATTGGTTATGACGTCAGCGCCTTGACCAATCAGGAAGTTAGCGGGCGCGGGCTTTTCAAAACTTATATTGGCCTGCTGTCTTGTGTACACTTTGCACTATACATCATCATAGGTATGTTATAACTAGCATTATTATACACTGTAGATACTATGTGAGATCATTTGAGAAACATAACTGAAATATATTTAATACTCTAGAGACTATTTCTTTTAGAGGAGTATTTAGAATAAAAGTGTTTAAAGACGTTTTTTGCCATAGATAGAGGTGTTCACTTAAGAGTGGTATCAGGCCCTTAGCCAGCTTCTTCTGCCAAGGGGGGGGGGGGGTCACTTTAAAAAAAATTCTAGGTGGGATTCACATTTGACAACTTTAGCCCAGATAGGTGTCTACCAGAAATGTTGCTTACTAGATAGAGAGGAGTCATTTGCTAAAGGTGTTCAATCAAAGATGGGTGTTTGAGTGATATTATATTTACATAAGGTGTTCAGGTAGAAGTGTTCACTAGATAGGTATATTTTAAACAACTTTTCATTAAGATGTAATGGCATCTAAGTGCTTCTGATCATTAGGTAAAACGTGTGGTCAATCCAGATTCAGGGCCTGGTATGATAGCCTAAATATTTTACCATTGCAGCAAATCTGGCAATATAGCATGCTCTAGCTTCTAGCTAATCAGTGCAGAGACTTATATAAATAAACACTGCTGGAAACTCAAAATGCCACAAATGTCATTGTTATTCTACGCTATTTCTCTCTAAAATTTGAATGAACTATCAAATTTTCTTGCATTTCTATATAATTTTAAGTCTTTGCTTCACGTCTATTTCGTCTTTGTTTATCTTTTTTCTATCTTTTTCACTCTATTTTACATTTTAAGTAGGGATATTTCATGTATAGGTGGAGTGACCTGTTTGCTTACAGGAGGATCACCTTAGTTACTGTGTATGAATATATAGATATTTACCTTTTTGTTACTTATCTGTAATTTATACTTTTAAAAGTAGTATTAATTAATGCTTTGAGAGACCTATAAACACATCCATGATACTATTATGTAAAAACCTTCAGATAATAATTTGTTCAAGAAATGTATGAACTGTTTAATTTGATAATTCTAATAAAATGTGGAAAAGCCAGAATAAATCTTACATTGCCTTGACCAAAATTAATAGGTCACAATAAGTACCTTTGGGAAAGATTCAGCATTTCATCTGCCAAGTTTGTAGTTTTTTAAAAACTAGATGAAGCAGCAAATGTTATAGAAATTAGGTGTTTCTGTGATCCCTGAAGCTAAATATACATATCTCTTACTTAACTATAGATTGAATGGCTCGTTGCATAATGGTTGCTATAGCAACTGATTTTCTGATCTCATTGACTTGGAGATAAATTAGTCAATGAGTCATTCTGTAAATGGATAAGATACATGATGTAAAACAGCAAATTCATTAGCCATGATGTAATGAATTTTTGGAAAAATGAAATGAATTCTGAATTCCACTCAGTTAATTCAAGATAAGATGAATAATGTTGGACATTTATGCCTTTATGCACAATTTGGCTTTAATAATTTTTACTTCTCAAAACATTGGATTCATTAGCTGTTATATAATAAATGTGGTCCAAAAATGTAATGATATGTGCAGATCAGTTACCATTCATTCATTTAGTATGGTGAGATGATATGTAAACAGTACATATGTTCATTGGAGTAGTCTTGCACCATGCCTCTTTAGCCAACATCTTCTCTAACACAGATACATCTATCAGGAGTTTAAAGGGGGATTCTGGAGAGTACCTCCTATTCTAATCTCAAATGCAGATGTTAGAGAAGGGAGTGTAGGGAAGTCTGTAATACCCTGAAACCTTGAAGCTAGCTATAACAACTTCAAATATAAACAAACCCTCCTTTAGAGTTTGCAAAGGGTTGGGAATACCAATAAGGGCTTGATGCAAGACTATCTTCAGAGTTTTAGAATGTCACTTATCCACATCAAACATTCCCTACCTGGGTCAATTATTTAATTATTGATGCACAAGAAGACAGGTGAGATGTTTGTTATTGCAATTAACTTACCTGGGGTTATATCTCTGAAGACAGCTTATGATAATCTTTACTTTATGAGATTGGAACTGTTGTGGAACATATGTGTTAAGAACCATATGTTGGTACTTGGGAGTTGTAGCAAATAGCCATTCAGACCCTTTCATAGCTATGCTGGTTGAAGACTTAGAGTTCTGGTTATCACAATGGCAAATAACATTCTTATACATGTATAATATGATCATCTACTAGTACATATGAGTTTCTGTAATACGTACTTATTACAACCTCCTAGTTTTGCCACTACCAAGAAGTTGTGACGTTATTCCCACTATTTTGTCTCTGTTTTTATGTCACCACCACAAGTGGTGACATATTATTATAGTCTCCAACTTTTTGTGTCAGCATTTGGTGTTTGGTATTCAGCAGTTGGTGTTTGGGGGCTGGTGTTGAGTGATGACATTTTGCATGTTAATGCCTTGTTTTTTATCTTTTGCTTGGGTTCAACGCTATATCCCCTGTTCTATTCATCTTGGGTCAACATTTTAATGCTTCCTTTGCAAGGAGGGACGGAGGGGCAGTAATGTTCACCTTCATTATAATAAAAATATTGAAGAAAATAATTGAAAAATCTCAAATGAAGATGGGGCGGGCATCTTATCTTTCATTAAATTGATTTGCAGAAATCTTTTATATTTTTACCTGTACTAAAATATATAGTGGTTGTAAAGAAGTTGACTCTGAATGTTGATATACTTAATGTTTTATCACCATCTGAGACAGGTGAGGATCATCTTCACATCTCCCTGATGTACTAAGTTCATACCTGGAATACCTGTATTAATCAGACAGACAGATGTGTACCAAGTGACGGAACTAAAATATGTCTGCTAGTAGACTATTTGCATTGCAGTTAAACTGTCAAAGAGGAACACCTCTACATGTCTTGTGTGATTTTTATTTTCTATACTTTGTTTTATGTTTGTCTAAAAATATACCTGGAAAACTTTAAAATCATTCTCACTCGGTATCAACAGTCATTAGTATCCATGGTGATCAAAGTTACCAATAGGGAAATGTGTGTCATGTTATTCGTTTTATTCTGCACTCCTCAAATCCTTTGGATTCTGTGTTTGATAACTGTTTGCTTTAGATATGTTTAACTGTATGCGTCAATATGATGGCACTATTTCCTGAATTCTAGCATTCAATATATTGGTGAACTACCAAATGCTAGTTCTCAAGAGTATTAGACAGCAGACAGTCTAGAATGCTGGATCTATCTGATCGGTCAACCATGTAATCACTTGTCATTTTTGATAAAGGGACAGGTGATAGATAGTGGGAAGGGAGGGGGGCAGAGACTCCATATAAGACTGCCATTCATGCAAATATGGTCCTCTCAGTATGTATCACATTGTATTCTACTATGTATCACACTGTGCTTCTCTATGTATCACATTGTGCTCATATTACATTGTGCTAGACTATGAAGCACATAGTGCAAGTAGTCTATAGAGAGATGACCGCCTAGGTACTTCACCCTTAGACCTTTCACCCCATAGATATTTCACTCCTAGATGTTTTACCCCTTAGACATTTCACCCCCTGGGTATTTCATTCCCGAGACATTTCACCTACTAGACATGATTGAAATGTCCAAGGGGTGTAACATCCAGGGGTGAAATATCTAAGGAGTGAAATGTCCAAGGGTGAAATGTCTAACGGGTGAAGCATCAAGGGGTGAAGATTACTTTTTAACTGGTTCAGGTTAGGTAGCAGTTGATGGAATCAAGACAATTTAAAATAGTTGGTTACTTTCATATATCAAAACGTTCAAATTATAAAGATAAGTATTAACTTATCACTTATATGTTTAAATAAGTATAAATGGCCATTAGGTTTTGAACTCAAACAAAAAAGTGTTTAATTTGTAATTTATAGTTTACTTTAAACCTGGCAGTAGGTTTAGTCTTGATACAACATATCTACAATAATGGGATTATAAGATGACTGAATAAGTTTCATATATATGATCTGTAAATAGTTACAATTAATGCCCACATTTAACACCTGTGCTAAGGCTGGGGATTATAGGATTAGGATTATCTCACTAAAGGATCCTCACATTTGGATTTGATTCTGAAACACTTTTACCTGCTTCAGTTTTATCACATTGTAAAGTATTTTTCCTTTGAAGTTTTCACAGATCTGTTTATTTTAGAGAGGATTTAGCGAAGTGCATCCAGAATCTGATTTTGATACTATAGTACGGATGTGCATTTAGGCCTGAATATGATATACTTGTGATAAGTTACAACAGAAGTGATATGATATATTTGAATATTAGAAGTGACAAGTAGCAAATAAGAATTAATTGATACTTATTCGAGAGGAAAATGAATGGACATGTCGAGGATGGGGTTTGCTTCTGTGATTGGTGTAAAGACAAAGTGAGCTTATATCTTCTTCACAGATTTTTTGACAACCTACTGGATGTAGAATTCTTTTTTTTTCAGTTCTAACCAAGAGATGGCAAAAACTGTCATAACAATTTTTCTGGCTCAGTGCTGGGAAGATCATTGTCATGACATGGATTTGTTAAATTTTCTAAATGAGCAGACAGGTTTAACCTTGGTTTTTCAGTAATGATTGACTTACATTATATCTGCTATGAACATAGAATGATTTTCAGGTATTCTTTTTATTTGTATTATGTATGACTTCTATGTCTAATTCACCATTCATCATGTGTTTCAGAGTGCTCAATCAAGGCTCTTCATAAAAGGAGGTAAAATAGTGAATGACGATTGTTCCTTTGACGCTGACATCTACATTGAAGATGGTATCATCAAGTAAGTCAATCCTGTATATCATATCTTAATTGATTTATCCTTGATGGAAAATTATTGAGATGCGTAGTCTTACCGAGTCTCTGGCCACTCCCTCTATTAAATAGGGAGGAGGGCACAGGGGCCTGATTCTTTACTAGGAAAAGCAAGAAACATTTAGAAATTTCTATTTCACATCTTGTTGAAATAAGTTGGCACCTATAGGCTGTCATCATCCTTCTGTAATGGCAAATAAAGACTCAAGAGAGATCAAAAACAAACTGCATGCAATATCATAACCAAGATGTTAACTTGAAAGTCTAAATCACTCTCACACACTTTAGTAGCTGAAAGATGCAGTGAAAAAATGTATGGTTAAACCTGTCGAAGTCGAACACCTTTGGTACCTGTAAAGTGTTCCACTTGGGAGGTGTTCCACTTGGTTCACTTAACATTAAGTCATTTGGTCTTAGGACTCTGAAAAGTGTTCTACTAACAGAGGTGTTCCACTTATGAAGGTGTTACACTTAACAGGTTTCACTGTACAGTATAACGATTGAGTTAACAATGAATTCAAGAAATAGCTCAACCAAAATTAGGCGGTATTCAAAATTCTAGAATTTATTCTTTGTATTTATTTTAAATAAGTTCAAAATCAATTATCATTACATCATATTACATAATTGTCACTTTAGATAATAACATAAACGTATACTGTATAACTCCTATAATTCCAGGCAAGTTGGTAACAATCTCGTCATTCCTGGTGGCTCACGAACAATTGATGCCCGGGGGCTCCTGGTCCTCCCTGGGGGTATTGACACTCACACCCATTTCCAGCTCCCATTCATGGGTACACAGTCTGTAGATGACTTCTATTCAGGCACTAAGGCAGCCCTGGCTGGAGGCACCACAATGATAAGTATGTGGAACATTTCTTATGAGTTCAAATGTGAATGAATGAGATTTGAACCATCATGGAATAAAGTAAACAGGAATATTGTCAAAAATTGAAATGGGCCAAACAAGAAACATTTATGACTTTAAAATGATCAGTCAGCAACTTAAAAATTGTTCACACATTGAGGTTGGAAACGATTTTTTTACTCAAATTATAATATAATAGAAGCTGATTGAACCTAGAAGAACTTTGTATTGAGGCCAAATCAGATTTGTTTTATCTTGAATTTAGAAATTGCATTTTCTTCACATGTAATAAACTAATTGGTTCACAGGTGACAAAATGCCTCTAAATGTAAATCCTGTAACCACTGCAACCTAAAGATGCTATTCTGCATTACAGTTGACTTTGTGCTAGATCAGAAGGGTGTTTCACTGCTAGATGCCTATGACAAATGGAGAGGTTGGGCTGATGCTAAAGTATGTTGTGACTATGGTCTCCATGTCGCTGTCACATGGTGGAGTGAGGATGTATCCAAACAAATGGAAATGCTCTGTGCAGAGAGAGGTATGTTTTTCCAATATACACAATTGATTTTCAGATAAGGTCCAGTTTTCCATTATACTTCTACTAGAAAATATAGGAAAAAGTGATATCGTTTTCATGTGATTTCATTTTTTTAATAATATCAGTTTGATGTAAATTCCATATACCATATATAGAGTGTATTTTATATAAACTGATTAAATGACTTATTTTCAGGTATCAATTCATTCAAGATGTTCCTTGCCTACAAAGATGTGTTCATGTTGGATGATTCAGAGCTCTACAGTGCATTTCAAAAGTGTAAAGAACTTGGTGCCTTGGCCATGGTACACGCTGAAAATGGACATCTCATTGCTGAAGTATGTTTACATATGTCTTTATCTCTGGCTTTTCATGACCTTTAAAACTCAGAGAATTTGATAAATATAAATATAAATTGGCCAGTGAAGTTTAGAATTTTGAGAAAGATCAAAGGAAATATCAAGGATATTAGGATAGTATTAACAAATCACTATGCGGAAAGATATGTCAGTTTATTCTTTCACCATATATACAGGGTGGGCCAAAAAAAACAATACCCAAATTTAAAGATGAATGATTCATATAATATATCTTAAACCTTGGCATGTACTATATATCATTTTAAAGATAAATCATTTCCTAACAATATGACACCATTCGATTGAAAAACTTTTGTTTCCTTGTGAAGATAGAGGCTAAAATTGACCCACCCTGTACATGTATGATTGTTTCAATTAAATTCATTTTATCAGAAATTGAATTTTTTGATAAAAGTATTTTTGCATTTTTTGAATATGATTATTATTATTTTGTTACAGAAATCAAAGGAGATGATATCGTCAGGAATTACAGGCCCAGAGGGTCACGCCATGTGCCGACCAGAAGAGGTATGACTATGCAATCAATTCATACAAAGTGATCAATATACACAATTTTTTTTTTATTTATTCTTAGTATCAGTATAATAATTTGAAGACAATAATGATTTGAACAAAAGATATATTGTAAAGATGGTAAAATTTTGCCAGTTTTTGAAATAGCAAATTTTGTTAAGCATGATTTTTCTTTGGATGCAAGTAAATGTCTAATCTGTGTTTTATTAATCGAGGGTTCCGTGATAAGGAAAAAGAAGCCACAATTGTTTTCAATGACCTTTAAAAGTCCTCCAAAAACATCCAAATTTGTCAGGGAAGTTCTGAATTCTGAGAAACATCATGAAAAATGTCAGGGAATTTTAAGCGAGTGAAATTTTGAAAAGTTGAAAATTGGATCGTTGATTGAAAAAAATGAAATGAGAAAAAAACTAAATGAAAACTTTAGTCACCAAAAAATGTTTCAATGTTTGGTTTCCTTATTTTGTCAATAAAAACAACACAGTTGGTTTGAAATTTTACACTTCAATCAGGGAAATACCAGAATTTTGACTTCAAAACACTGTGACAACCCTGTAATTTTAGATGTGTTCAATTAGTGGTCTTCCTTGCATACTAGAATCATAGGATGTAATATGAAAGAACTGAGTGGGAGATGCCACTAACACAATATTAAGCATGGAGTTCTGTGCTCTTGTGGGCCCGATGTAACAGCATTGGAATTGAACAGTATTTGCTAACATGTTGCTTGCACGTGTATCTTACCATAGGTTGAAGCTGAAGCTGTAAATCGTGCTGTTACAATTGCGAGCCAGAGCAACACCCCTCTTTACATTGTAAAAATCATGAGCAAGCAATCTGCAGATGTCATTGCTCAAGCTAGAAAGTGTGGTGAGTCATGGTGCATATGTGGTGTGCCATTGGTGTTGTGAGAAAAAATGCTTAAAATCATATCAACAAATAGTCATATTGGTTTACTGAGAATTTACATGAAGATGTCAAAGTTGCTCTGTTTTTAGAAAGGATGATATGATTTGTTGTGCATTTTTTATATGTTGTTGTTGTAGTTTGTTGTACTTTATATGTTTTAGTGTTGTCCTGAGGAGCTGCATATGCCCTTGGGTTGATTTGCTTTCCGTAACCTTTTCATGCATGAACTTATCACAACGTGCATGTTAGATAAATATTTCTGAGTTCATTATCATTTCTCATAAATGCTTTCATTATATGCATTAGGTTGAGGCTGAAGCTACTCAGCGAGCTATCACAGTTGCCGATCAGGCAAACTGCCCCCTCTATGTTGTACACGTCATGAGCAAATCTGCTGGTGATGTTGTTGCAGCTGCACGGCGGAAAGGTAGGGAGCATGTTGGTATTACTGTGGTCAGTCAATGTGGTAACAAACCAATTATTCGTCGGTAAGCTTCAGATAAGTCATTCTTTTATGAAAGTGTAACCACTTTCAAATCTCTGTCCATTTGTAAGGAAAGCACATCTTTGCATATATTCTACAATTTTGTAGATCCAAAGTGAACATGTGATGTTAAAATTCTGAACATGCTACTTTTATTACTATGAAGTTGATAATAACGTGTTCAGATAAAATTGATTGCAAAAAAGTAAGTGATAAGTCAATATTGGTAAAAACATGTCTGACCTCAAGGGAAACTAGAAGGTGTATATGTAATCGAATTATACTGCATGTTTTGCTTTTATTCATATTTTTCACCCTGTAAAAACATTTTTGTAACACCCAGAAGCAGGTCTTGTAGTCATATATGTATGTATATGTGCTTTCTTTTCTTTCTTTTTTGTTGTGCAAAATGTAAAATAGAGGTTATTTTTATTTTAATTACATGTAATTAATTAATTTAGATTCAAAGAAAATGTATGTCATCTTTTCTGCTATGTCTAATAAGTTTTATGAATTGTAAACAAAACTTTTTTCCATGTATAATTATTTGAAGTTTACACTCAACGAAGCACCAAGTATTTATAGTACACAAATGTGTTATTTCTGTTTGAATATACAATTTAGACTCCTCAACTTGAACACTGCGCTAATAATATGTAACCTGAAGACTTTTCCTGTTAATTTAAATTCACCTTTCTTGGCTCTATATTGCAGGTAATATAGTGTTTGGTGAGCCAATAGCAGCCAGTCTTGGTACAGATGGTACTCATCAGTGGAACAGATGTTGGCGACACTCTGCAGGACACGTCATGGGACCTCCTCTCCGAGATGACCCCACCACCCCCGGGTATTTAATGGATCTCTTAGCAAGGTATGAGGAAGTCCGTCAATTTCATAGTGTGAATTTTGTCTTGATGAATATCTAATAAAAAGGTTGATTCATTAAAAATTCATAGCTTGGTGCACGTGATGACTAGGGTCATTTCAGCCCAAAGTAAAATCTCCATGATCTGTTCAGGTGTGTCAATAAAATTTGAGACCAATTACTCAGATGCGAGTAGGTAGTTACCAGTTTCGCCACCAGGTGGCTGATTCGGGGGAAATAACATGGCAGGGTATTACAAAATTCCCTTAAACTTGAATATTCATCAGTTTTAGTGGTCCACTTTTCATATTACCCGTATGTGTCTGATAGTTATACAAATTAAAATAAGTCCAGGAAAAGAAAATATTATCTGCCTAACATAAGAAAAGATATTTCACTTTTTGTGATTTTACAACATGGGGTCTATGGGGAATCTCCTCGACCTAGAAGTCACATTTTCAAAGAAAATAAAATTTTCAAAGTTGATAAACTCTTTTCTAAACTACATTTCTAGATTTAATTTTACATGTAGATTCCAAATATGACATCAGTTTGACGGAATTTTGAATTTTTAATGACATAAATCAAGATTATTTCTACTCGCATCTAGTCTATTGAACTGTGAACCAGTTGCCATGCACTGTACCATAGACTGTATAAAATTTATGATGATCATTTCAGCGGTGACCTTCAAGTCACTGGCACCGATAACTGCACATTTAACGCTGAGCAAAAGGCGCTAGGGAAGGATGACTTCAGAAAAATTCCCAATGGAGTCAATGGTGTAGAGGATAGGATGTCTGTCATATGGGAGAAAGGAGTGGTAAGTGAAATATTAGCAGTAATGTTGACATATTGGCATACTGACATGATGGGCAGACATGTTAAAAAATCATATTCATGAATAATAGCTAGACTTAAGTTTTAGTTACATTTAATATTGAGCTGTAAAGTTTTTACTTTGGCTAATCCAAACTACAATATCCAGTATTTATTATTCGTTAGATTTTTAAAATTCCATTTTCATTTGAGTACCAATTGATTATCTAATAAAATGCAAACATACATGTACATCTATAATATGTGTAACTGTATGTATCTCCATTTCAGCACTCAGGCAAGATGGACCCCTGCAGGTTTGTAGCAGTGACCAGCACAAATGCAGCAAAGATATTCAACGTTTATCCTAAAAAGGTAACGTTTTAACTCCTTGATCTTAGCTTGTCTTTTTGAAAACATCAGTTTTGAGATTCCCGAATTCAAATTACCCAAAATTGGTGATGGTTGTCATTTCAGGTTACATTATTTTTTCAGTTTTCTCCTTTAGGAGAGCATAGAATTATTTTGAAATTTCACCTGAGATTGTGTTCCTGACCTATCCTCACAATTTATATACTTAAAGGACCCATAGCATCATGATAATCCATGACATCTCATTTCTTCTCAGCCCTGAGATGCCATGATATAATGAGCTTGATTTGGCGATCCAGGAGAGCCCAAAATTGAGGATTTTTGAGATCTTTCATCCCAGCTCATATTTCATTTAATTGGGGTCATTAAACTTGTGTACACGTGCCTGTGCTACTATCTGCTGTTAAATACAATGCTTATTATGTAATGTATTGACATTAGGTAAATGATTACATGATAACTATCATACTTATTGACAGTTATAACTCTTCCCATCTGATGTGCTCAGATCACAGAATATGCCTCATAATATCAGAGCATGTTTCAGGTGAAACAGAAAGATGCTATGAGTATCAGAATGGACCCATAGTAGCTACATTGAATTTATTTATAAGGACTTTTAAATTGAGCATGCATCTTTCATCTATACAGGGCCGCATTCAAGTGGGATCAGATGCTGACCTTGTTCTCTGGGATGCCAACAAGACGCGCACTATCTCAGCCAAGACACATCACCAGGCAGTTGACTTCAACATATTTGAGGGTATGGTGGTCCATGGTGTTGCTTCTACTGTGATCAGCGGAGGAAGAGTTGTACTGGATGAAGGAGAGGTATGTTCCATCAACACCATATTATATAAAAACTGTAAACCTAGACTAAAACAATTCAAGGTACAAGTACATAACATTACTCTTTTAAGTTTTTCAATAAGAGAACAAAGTTTTTTCAATCGAATGGTGTCATATGTCATAGGAAATGATTTATCTTTAAAATGATATATAATACATGGCAAAGTTTAACATGTATCATATTTCTTGCATTGAGTAAGTTATTAATTATTTTGTTGTCACGTTTTAGCTTCACGTCACCCAAGGTGTGGGCAAGTTTGTTCCAACCCCTGTCAATGCTGAACATGTATATGGCCGTGTACGAAACAGGGAATCGGTGAGTTAATTAGACAGGCTTACACATTGGTACTGTCTAACTCACGCTACATAGAGTTTGCTCCCCTGTGTTATAGCTAAGGCAATTGGCTATGTGCACTAGCAAATTTGATGGGATGATCAGTCCATCATGGTATGATAGGAATTACACCGGAATTAATATATTAATCATCTTAGAATTTGTATGTAAATAACTTTAAATTTCCATTAAAATAGTAAAATGTTCTGGACAGAATGTATTCAGGACAGTGATGAAACAATGTTTGAAAGGATGAAAAGAACATTTTGTAAGAATTTCTCATGGCAATAAATGCATACATTTCTATAAAATACCTTTTTTACAGGCCCGTATTCCACAAAAGGTAGTTCGTGATCCATATGAAGGCAAAGTCATCGAGATTTCCAATACTGTCGCTGACAGCCATGCTCCCATCAATCCAATCTGTCCCAATGCCATCAATGGTGCAGACCCCTTCTCCACACATAGCAGACCCCCTACAAGTAGTGGCGGTAGGAACCTGCAGGATTCTAGCTTCTCTCTTAGTGGTAGGCGTGGTTTGGCTTTTATATGGCACACCCAGCAGAAAACTTTGATATCTCAAATATTATCTGACACAGGGTTAATTTGGGGGAGTATGAGTTTCATAGGGACTAGGAGTTTCACTTATGTGACATGTAAAGTCTCAATTGTACAATTGTATATTGCAGTGTCATTCACATGCCTTTAAATTACCTTCTACAATGTATTTATTCAGAAAATATCAAATTGTAAAAATTTCACTTAGGGCAAATCTGCACTGGGCTTATCAAAGGGAAAATGGGCCTATTAGGCTAATTATTAGTGCAATTTTATCTTTATACTTCATCCTCTTTTTTAGTCACACATAGCACATTAACTTTAATCTCACATCATCATTGTAATTTCAATACTATTTCATAACAAAATTTAAAGTTTTCTGCTTCGGTCATAGCTACATTATTTAACAAACAAATCAGTCAACGATTCCTTTATTGAAAGATTTTGCTCATGTATTTGAGGGGTAATCGTTGATATGGTCAGCTCATAAAGCTGCACAGAAGTGTGTAATTTTCTACATGTGAATTGAAACCTTCCAAATTACAATTTCTTTGTGTCATGATGTCCAATCAAGACAGTATCTAGTGGGCTTTGTATAAAAAACCTCCTACCTCATAACCACCTACCCACCTACGTGGGACATGATACAGTCATTGAAGGGTTGAATTTTAAAGATTTTTAAATCTCAAAATAGCTCTAATTATTAACATTTCTACAATTCTGTCTTTATTTTATGACTAGACGGATGACAGATCCATAAATAAAGGCATATGGGTGCATTGTAATGTGTAATGACCCAAGGGCGCCCCAGGGGAATAACTAACTAAAGACAGCGAGCATAGGTCCAACAAGCCAGATAAAGAAATTGAAAGAAAGTGTGCTAAATTCGATGCCCCAAGTGGGAATCAAGCCCAGCTGGGCTGTAGTAGCAACTTGCTATCAAGGATTGTTACAAATGCATCTATAATTCATCATGAACTAAGATTTAATAAACTAAGATCTTTAAAATTGAACCCTTCAAAAACTGTATCATGTCCAACGTACCTGGGTAGGTGGGTATGAGGTAGGAGGTTTTTTATACAAAACCTATCTAGTGTATACATACAGTATCTACACTGAGATATCGTAACATTACTGAAGGATCCACAAAAACTTCAAAAGTCATGATACATTAAAAACAAAGAAAACATTTGTTAGATTTCAGGAATTCTGAATTATTTGAAATGTTTCAATTCACAATCTTATGAGAGCCATCATAGTGGTTAATTTTATTGTAAGTTTTATTACCACCATGATATTGAAATTTCATATTTAAAAGGGAATGAGCCCAACGCTGCGTATTATGCAAGCTTCAAATATGACAACGCGAGGCCATGACATGCAACAGCGCATTAAAGTACTTACTAACTAAAATGCATCATATTTCATCTTTAAAAGAGCAGCATGTTTTTAAGAGAAATGTCTTAAATAACTTTGATACAATTAATCTATGAATATGATCTGATTTAATATCATGGGTGGAAAAATGGTGGCCATTGAGTTCCTTTGTTATAGTTTTAATTGATAATGTAATAAATTCTTATAATCACATAGAAATGGCTAACGGGACAGGTATAGTGAAAACTTTATTTTCAAATGTTTCCATGCAACAGATGTCTCCATAGCAACTCCCAGTTTAGTATCTATTTAGTTTAGATATGATTTAAGTTTTACTTACCACAAGTCTCTCATGCATTAATCTGCTAAAAGAATTGAGTTAGCTCTCTATGAACCCTCAGTTTTCTTTATTTATCCCATTGAATTGGGCACGTGGGGGACAAAAAACTTTTCTCCAGATGAATGCAGGATATATGAGACTTATGGGTCATTCACCTTTTAGTCCCCCTCATTTTGTTCAGATTCTGCAATATGATTTTCTTCCAAAGGGACAATGTTTTTAAAGTTTTGTTTATTTTTAGGATTTAGGCTGCCTGCTTGAGTTCAGCTTTTAGCATGGAATTTGTTAAGAATGAGTTGCATATTGTTTAATGCGATTTAGAAATCACAAATTATTGTTATTAATATTTTTATAGAACTATTGTATTATGTTTGATTTTATAGTTTCTATTTTTCCATAATTTATGTAATCTTTCGGTTTTTGTTAAATTTTAATTTTAAACATTATTTCCTCATAATTTTTGCTTTCCATCTACCTACCAATCATTTAGTTCAAATACGCTTACATATTGTAGTAGTTTTAATATTATTTTCTCCTTATATTAAGTTTCTCCATATTTAGATTTAATCATCCATATTTTGTTATAATTAACTTTTTAAATAATAAATTAGCTTTGTTATTATTAATTTTAGTGCTTTTCCCTCCTGAAATTATGAAATCATTTTTGCTATTGGAAATATCATGCATTACTGTAGGCAGCATATCAGCCTATGTATAGTACATTAACATTATACATACATCATTATCATATCTGATTAGTAGCCTGAACATACATTTACTTCTATACATATTGCAAATATTTAATTTGATATGGTAATGAAGTGTCTAATGTATTGTACAGGAAATATTCAGTGGATCAGTTATTAATTTTTTATGTTACTATCTTTTAGGAGCACAATACGACGAGAAGAAAAATAAAAAGCCTGCTACTAAAGTATCACAGCCACCAGGGGGAGCTTCATCCTCAATTTGGTAGATAGGTGGCAGCACTGTGTAGCCATTCCTGATTGGCTGATACATTTCAACGTCATTTAACAGTCATGTGCCAATGTTAGTGCATATATATTTGAGACAAAATCTCAACATGCTGGAGACAAACTTTTTAAATTTTTAAAGTGCAATGCAGGCTGTTTGAACATGGAAACCCAGAATTGTCCTATCTTGAGGCAAATGGAACTATGTGTATGCATTATATCATGTGGTCCTTCTATTGTAGCCTTGATGTTTTGGTGTATATTAACAAGCATGAGTTGCTTTCCCTCCCCAGTCACCACCCAAAATGTGTTCTGCTTAAATATATTGGAGACTGCATTTAAATATTATATGTGTTTATATAACTAGGTGACCAGTGGGACCAATCATCCCCACGAAAAACAGGGAAACAAGTAAATCAGCCACCAGGGGGTGCTAGTCATCAATTGTGGTAGAGCCATCTAGTGGTAAATCATAGAACTAAGTTTGTTTGCAGACGGATCAATTTCATTGGATATGAGGTGCCACACCTGCAGTGATAATTCCATTTGAATTTTCCATTGAAAATATTTCAAATGTTTTCCCATTATTAGTGCAATATGAAAGTTAGAGGATCATCAAGTATCATCAAGTATCATCCTCATTGAATGGAATAAATCAAGTTATCATGAAGGAAGGATCACTCTCTCACATGGTCATATTTGCACTAACCTAAAACACAACTACAAATGAAATATACAAGTTTTCTACAGAATTTTTTATTCATTATTTATTTGAAGGTTCTCAATTTGATGATCGTAGAAAACAAAAATCTGGAATGCGGGTGTCTCAACCACCTGGAGGCGCCACCAGTCAACTTTGGTAGAACTCCATCTATTGAGCCAATAATGAATTCAAGCAACTCAAGCACCTTCCAAAAGCTAGTCAAATGAAATCTAATTTCATCTGAAACGGACAATAAATTACAGGACTTTATCAAACAGTTCTGTTTTAATTAATTTTATAATTAACATTTGTCTGATACTAGAACCTAGAACATAGTTTTTATGTTGGTAGTTCAATGAATTGTTGTCTGTAGAAAACATGTTAGTTGTGTTTTAGAATTTTAGTGCCTTTCCTTCAATTATGCCACATTTCAATATTTGATGATGCATGTTATTATCAACCTTTGGCACTTCATATCCATAGTAATTGCTTGCTGTCTTTAAACTATCTGATGTTATAACTTCCATGATTTAATATGCAAAAGTTTACAGATGCATGATATTTCAATGAAATCCATTCAATTTGTCATAGAAGGCAAAATGGATGAATATTTGTGATATAATGACAAGCAATTTGAAAAATTATGTAGACAAGTATTGTTTTGCATTCTGGAATCATTTGGATCTTTAAAGCTCACCTTCTAGTTCACATTTAATCAAAGAGATAACTGATTGCTATTATTAGTTATCTGATGCATGTAATAGTTAACTGGTGGCTGACATAGTTAACTGATGGCTAATATAGTTAAATGGTGGTACTGTTTAGGAAGGCAGAGTTGATTGTGATTGACTATGAAACATGCTTACATATACATGCAGTGTCAGTATACAAAACTATGTGTAAAAGGTTCATGTTCATTGTCAAATTGCTATTTCTGTTCTGCCTGCCTTAACCGATGAATGGGTATAAGAAAACAACATCAAGCTATGTATAAGGTATGTATTGTAGAGCTTATTAAGGTGGGTAAAGCAGGACACGTTTTGGACTTGAATATGCATGTCATCAGTATTCTTCATTTTACTTTGCCTACCTTAATTAAACATACAAAATCCATTTACAAATAACATCATACAGTTACTCATTCAATTCAAAAATATTAATGTTTAAAATACTACAGTAAATATGGGAATGTGGACAAACAGCTACATGTATTCAATAGAAAATGTGTTCCAAAGCAACATTGCAGGGTTTACAGAAGAAAGATATCTGACCCAAATGATTTTATTTGTATTGAGATGTAAAGGGAAGGTGTGCATGCACTAATACAATACTAACAATTACAAAGGAGGTAAACCAATGCTGTAATGCAACACATGAAATATGGAGCATGGGATATGAATTGTCCTGTATTAAAGTGCTGTTAATGACAAAAATGGATAAATAGAATGACACTATGACTAACTGTATATGAAAGAACTGTGAACAGTCATGAGTTTGGGGAAATTACAATTCGAATAGTATCATTGGATGTAGGCTAGTCTCGCTACAAGCCCTTGTGATCCCCCCTGCTCCTACAATAACTGTTTGAGAATGTGGGTAGTCCATTAGAGGGGGTCACAGAGGCTTGTAACTAGGCTAAGGTCTTCCATCTTACAAAGCATCATCACTTGTCACAATTAAAGAAAAATATGATGTCACAAGAGTCACAATGATGTCACAAGAGTCACAATGATGTCACAATCACATAAGGTAGATTTCAATGAAAATGCCATCACATCATCTACAGCTTATAAAGCATGAAAAAGATGTAAAATTTAAGACATCAAAAATTTAGTTAAATCAAGATTACCCTGAAAATGTCATTCAGATCATGTATTTCTTTTCTTTCTAAATATGAGAAAATGAGAGATTTTCTTGCATTTCTATACAGCTTTAAGTTTTGACTTCATGTCAGTTTACTTTATTCCTTGCTTATTCCACTCCTTTCCTGAAATATTTCACATTTCAAAACATTACGGTACCTCAATGACATTTTTATTTACATTTTGATAGCTAACATATGTAAGGGTATTGGTGCTCTCTCTGTTAGTATTCTAGTCTTGCTAGTTTCCTGGCTGTGTTTCTCGAAATCAATAATCTATTTATTATATAAATCACACAGCCAAGCCAAATAATGTCTGTGTAAACTCCCAAAGTCTATTGGGGACATATAAGTTGTTCCTTATATGTTCTTTATTTGAGATATAGATGCATGTACTTAATACATGACTTGATACATGGCTTGAATCTGTTAACTATGCCATCCCAAAATAAAATAAGAAAAAGATATCGA